TGAATACTTCTAATGGTGCTATAATTTTTAGGTATCCATGGTAGATCTGATATAAATGAGTTTCATATTAACTATTTTTATATAGGGGTAATTCTATATATCACCTAATATTAAGAGGATAACAAAATGGAAAATTTTAATAATCACATTACTAAATTTTGATCCCTGAAATTTTTGGTAATACCAATGTTCACTTTGTCTGGTTTTGTTGCAGTATGCCCCATATAGGATATGGAGTTTTATTTCTTGAACAATAAATTTTCTTAGATTTTTTTATATTTAATATAAATCTTTTTATTACTATCAAAATGCATTTTTTTATATGAATATCCTAATATTTTCAGTTGATTTTAAGCAAACCAGAATGATTAGCCAATAAAAAAGTCGGAATTAAAAAATAAGTCGATCTTAAATTCCTATCATGGGCCCTCAAAGATCGACAATTTTAGTGGCGTCTTCAGGTTACCTGATTATTTAGAGCCGAACCAATCAAAATAATATCATACGATTTTGTGGGGTACTAGTACTGATTTTGTTACATATTGCTGCGCCAAGAGGTCACATAATAAGTTTTTTCGGATGTTTACGGTTATTGATTAAAACATACCGGAATTTTCCGATCTAAACAATTAGTATATACAACAATTGGGTATATATGTACTGTTGCACATAATGACGAATTCGTTTTACATTAATTTTTTTTTAATTTTTCTTAAAAAACATTGAATATAAGTAAGGTTTGTTCAGAAAAATATAGAAAATTACACGAGGTTTGAAGTTTTGGAAGTAGAATAAACTTTAAATAACGGCTGGCGATAAATTCAGAATTAAAAACAAGCCACCAATGGATTCGTACAACTAATGATTTAATTCCAAACCATAAAAAGAATAATGAAAAGAATATGCATAATTATGTAACGAATTCTAAAATGAGAGAAGTACACAATTACTTATTTGGGATTGAATGAGAGCAAGATGCGGATTTTTTTTTTAATAACTCCGTTAAGAATTTGTAATACTTGCTAAAAGTATTTTAATGATAAAGATATTTCAAAAATGATAAGTTTTAAAAAGCATCGTGTTACATATGACTTGTTTTTTAATTTATCAAAGTTATATTTTCTTGGGAATATTTTTGCTCGTATTTAATTTTAAATTGTATACTGGAAATGCTCACGTCACTAGTTACACGAGCTATACGACGAATTTTACACCATAAAGAGAAATAACTTGTAATAATTAAGGCTACTAATTGACTAACCTAGGCATCTTCGCGTGTTCAAATTTTTTTGTAAAGGAATTTTTATTATTAAAAAATAGAACATTTCAAATAAAAAATTAATTATTAGTTATTATTTATTATAAACGAGGATGTAATTGTAGTTGTAAGAGAGTTAGCTTTTTTTTGATTTTCGACAACAAATTTAAATTTATCTTTAAAAATTAGATTCAATCTTCTTTAGTTGTCTGTGACTCGTTATCACAACCAAACTTCTTCTTCAAACGTAAGAATTTTTAAGTCACTCTGGGGTGAGAGTAAACCGACGTTGGTTACCTTTAAAAACTACCAGTAAATCATTGAAGCTTATTTGCTTTCAGAAATGAAGACAAGAGATGGCTTTTTAAAAATATTAGCTCTTGGGCCATGGGTTACAGTTACAGTTGATTTAACTAAACCAACCTGATGATTTAAATCTTATTCCCCTTTTACCAGATGATATATAGAAGAGTTTAATTGACAATCTTTTTGTGAATGGTAGTAAAAATTTTGATATCATCACAAAATTGCTAATTTTTTTATGGCCTTTCCTTTTACTGAATCTAGTGTTCTGCGACTATGAATTTTCCCCTATATATTTACTGCCGTTAAAATCAGACTTTAACCTAATTCGGAGGAAAAACAAACCATATTAAATGAATTGGTAATGCTCGCTGGACATATAACAAATGTTTGGCGGTAGTTAATACTGAAAACCCCTATCTCAAATGAGTTCCTTATCCCTCTTATAATATTAGACAGTCGATCATCATGATTGGGAAGAGAAAGTTGTCATTATTCATTCCTCAAAGGTATTGAAAATAAAATATGGCTGTCATCTCACCTTTAACCATCTTGGCGAATTTTACGCCATTTAAAATAACCAAGGCCCGTAGTTGAATAGAGGCATCAACATCATTTCTCTTGATTCAGAGTGAGAATTTTCATGGCCGAGTATTACTTATGCTTAGAAACTAAAGTAAAAGGTAATCTATTTATGCCAAAGCAAAATAAGCGTAAAAGATATTATAAGCTTCAACGCATGCTTCGGATCTACAAGAAAATTCGTAATCTTGTGAATTTCAAACACAGGACATGGATAAAAAAGATGGTTTAGAAAATCAATCACACCACTAATTTAAAAGTTGTTTATTCCATAATATTCTTTGTAAAAGGCGGCAGATAGTCTACATTGAATGTTGTGTACTCATCAAACAAAATCCGAGCCTTCAAAAACCCTTAGACGTACAGATTTAAATCCACCATTGACAGAGATTATTACGGAAGCATAACAAGAGTCGCTTTCGATACCTTGTAGGTTGTCTATGTAAGACACTTTGTTATAAAAATTATAAAAACGTGATACAAATTGCTAAAATTATCACATTCATACAATACATACGGTCTTTTGTAGAAAGATTACTAAATACATAACTATTCATATTTCATTTTTTTGTGTTAATGTTTTTTCAGCTGAACAAAATGAGTTGAGTAGAATGAATAATGATAATGTTACAATTTACGTTAAAGTTTTAAATTTTAATTAATTAATTTCTAAATTTGGATTGTGTGGATTTATGCAGAACAATATGACGTAGTAAGGAAATCAAACCATTGCTTAAATAGGAATACAGCTATAACTTGATATAATGATTCTTACGAATACTTCGTTATATATATATACCATCTGTGCAACACGAAAATTTGCGTTTAATTTATCTATATTTATCTAATAATAATAAAATAACAACAATACTCGAATTAACGAAACTACTCTTTCTATAACGAACTAAAGTTTTTTGTTGTATAACGTGAAATAAGAAATGAAACATCCAAGCAATTTACCCATCAAGAATTTGCAATATAAACCTGTTTTCATCAAGTCTTGGTCGATTCCCTTGCTTGCTCAACTTTTTTATAAAATTCATAAAGATATTCATTTTTTAATTTCTTAAAGATTATATGTTTTTTTAACGTGTGTATTTATGCTAGTAAATTTTTAAAAAATTTAAGTTCATAGTCAATTTCTACATTAAGCTTTATTGATATAATATGCAGCCTATCTTTTGATATGCAAAAGCTTTAACTATTAAAAATTTAAAGTTTTAATTATAAATAAAATCGTTTCCTTTTTTGAATCTATTGATTTGCTAAAAAAGAAAAATTTTCTTGGATTAAGGAATGCAATGTATATCAATTAGATGTTTAATAATAATTAACGATAATAATAGTAATAACGAATAAAAAAAGAAGTGATAATCTTGATGATTCTTAATAAGGTCAAATTTGCTCAATAATAGTAATGATGATGATAACAATAATTGTCAACTTTTTTTCACAAGTATTAAAAAAAAAAAAAAGATTACGATACAAAAATCTACATCAAAAGATTCTTCGCTATTGTAATGAAATCGTGATAAAATCTTTTGTATTTTAAAAATTCTGGTTTTCATGGGGAAAAAAAGTTTTTTTCAAAATTTCAAAATCGATTAAATTCCCAACGATCTTTTTTAATATTAAATCATTTGTTTATGCGACCTATTCAATTGTTTATCATATTTATATCAATCAACATCGTGTACATTCTTCTAAACTTGCTTCTAATATTTGGGGAATTTATTAATTTTCTTTGACTCAGAGTGCCAATTATGGCTTAAATTCAAAGATTTAACATCCAAAAAAACGTCAAAATTTTAAGGTTTTTTAACCAAAATAATAATTTAACATGTATGTCAAAAATTATTTATCATTAGGAGAATTTTTTGTAAAAATAGAAAATCCGGAAAATAGTTTTGATTTTAAGTTTATTAAATTATAAAATTAATAATATATTTGCTTGTGATGTACAATTAATTTTAATAAACTTTATAAAATATTAAAACTCGTAATTAAAAGCTAAAAAATCAATGTAATGTAAACAAGTTTAACTTCAGGATTCTCCAAACCGAATGGTAAAACAAAAATTTTTTATGCATAAATCGTTTTAAGGGGAAAAAAAAAATAATGTTCGGATATTTTAATTCAAAATAGCGGCAAATTTTATTGTAAATTTCCCTTAATAATGCGCTTTTTTTAAATAATCAACGTATCACAAAACTTTTTAATATTGTTCGAAAGGAGAATAAAACAATTATTATTACGTTACAAAAATACATAATTATTATTAATGCATGCGAATTTCTTTGTCTAATTGTTTTTAGAATAACTTTTTTGGAATCGGGATTTTTTTCATTTTTTTCATTGTTTTAAAATAAACAATAAAAAATTATCCGAATATTATAAACTAAAAAATTTCGTTGTATTCATTTAAACCTGTTTTTTTAGTTATGCACAAATTCAAATTTAGAAAATATTTTGTAGATTACAAATTGAAAACCAATATAAAAAGGGAGACGCCTAAATCCTCCTCATTTTTTTTTTTCTTCACCTTTTTAATAATAATAAAAAAAAAATAATTATTATTGTTGAGAAAGAAAATATTTATTTTTTTTTTTTTTTACAAAAAATCAATATTATCAAAAAAAATCAGTCGAAAAAAAAAACCAATTTGATATTTGAATAAAATAATTTTTATAAATCTCGTATTTTTCAATATATATTTTCAATTTACCTTACCTTAATAATAATTTGTTAAACGAATAATTAAAAAAATTAAATTAAATTAAATTTTATATTATATATAATCACTTTTAAATACACACATTCAATATATTAATAAATACTATTTTTTAAATACACAAAAATGTCGTCGTCATCATCATCAAGAAGAGAATATGTTTTCATCGAAGTTGATGCTACACAACAAAGAAATACTCCAAATTATCCTCCAGAAGATTTAAAAATCGAATTTCCACCTGTTTTTAATGAAGAAGAACTTGGTTCTAAAATTCTTCGCAATTGCAACAACACTACCCGAGTACCATCCAACCGAAGAAAACCACCAAATGCATTCATTTTATTTAGAAAGAAGTACCTTGATGCATTACACAGACGTGGTCAAAGATATCCAATGAAAAATGTTTCCGGGTGGGCGCGTGATGCTTGGAAATCATTAGATAAACATCAAAAACAAGAATATGAAAGTATTGCTACTCGGGCTGCATCATTATATCACGAATGGGCTTCATCTGTACCTAACAAGAAACGTCAAAATAAAAATCCACGTCGTAGTAAACCAAATAACGAAAATAATAATACTTCTAATAATAACAACAACAACAAAAACAAACTTTCTAATAATACGACAACAGCAGCAGCAACAACAACAACAACAACAAAACCAACTATTAACATACCTTCAACAATAACTTCAACAACAAATTTAACAAACACAATTCAAGAGAAAATTATCACCGATAATAGTATAAATACACCCACACCTTTGTCATCCGCAAATTCATCAGCAATTAATTCACCTACTTCACCCCTTTCTTCAAATAATTTTCCACTTGAAAATTTACATTCTAATACTGTACATAATAATATTTATTCTGCTTCTTATTTTCCATCACCACCGTCTAATGATTTTACTTACCAATTTCCAGGTCTTTCGTCTAACGAACCATTTGATACAGATGAATTCGTATCTCCAGCTATGAATTCACAAAAGGTTGATGAATATAGTGCATACTTAAAAGAAGATAATAATATTGATACTATCATCGATAATAATGATGCTAATGCCAATTATATGGCTTCTGATAATGGAACAAATGGTATTAATTTTTTCTTTGAATCTACCCATTTGAATTTCCCTTATATTGATGCTTTTAATAACAATTATTGTTGTTTTGAATTTCCAAATGTTCTGGTTGAAGATCTTTCTAATCAAAACAGTTATCTTCAATGGATGATTGCTCAACAGTCGGAATAAGATTCACAAAATCACTCCTCATACAAACTCACACAATACCAATATATGTTATTTCACACAAACTCACAATACCAATATGTTCTTTCATACAAACTCACAATACCAATATGTTCTTTTAACACACACATCACAATTCCAAATTATTGAATTATCGGGTTTTTACTTTATTTTATTTTCAATTTTTGAATTTTTTATTATTATTATGAAATAATTTTTATTTATTCATTTATATTCATTTTTTAAAAATTTTTGAAGAAAAAGAATAATCATATTCGTTAATTTTCTTCATTTCCCGCCATCATTTCCAACAAAAACATCATCATTATCATCAATATTATTATTATTATTATCTTCTTGCAAGGATTGATAACCGAAAGATGCATTTATAATTAATTACAACATCGCAATAAATTACACAACATCATAACAACATCATAATCATTTAAAATGCGAGAGTTCTACAATAATAATATCAATCAACAACATTATTTTTTTTTTTTATAATGAACATTGAAAAACAATCAACAGACTTTTTTTTGTATATATTAAACAAATTTTTTTTTCTCCAGTAATGAGATTCTATTTTAATTTTAGGTTTATATTACATATCATACTCTAAATAGTAATTTCTTTTCAACAGATAGCAATTTTTTAAGATTAGGATTTTAGGATACAATTGTAAATAGATTTTAATGACTGATTATTAATAGTGGCTTAGCTTTAGCTTAACTTGGCAAAGAAATAGTAACATTAACAATGTAGCGAATAATTTTTAGAATATCTGATATGTAATAATAAGTTTTAGGGATTATAGTTTTAGTTTTAGTTTTAGTTGTATTAGTTTAGTATAAATTTATTTTTAGGGCATAGTTTTAGGGTTTTTAGTTTTAGGTTTTAATTTTAGTTTTCTAGTCTAACATATTTTCAACATTAATTTCAACATTTATTTCCAGCAATTTTAAATAATTTCAACACAGCAATAAAAGTATTTATATTTATTTAATTAATATCTTAATAAAATAATACAGTAGTATTATTTTGAATTAATAATAGTAGTTATAATAATATTTAGAATTTAAATTAATGCTAGCATAATTTTAATACTAAATATATAATACTAATAGAAATGCTAATAATTATATACATATTAATTACACTAATAATTTATAATTTGCATATTATATAGTTATATAAATACATCATCGTCATCATAATTATAATTCGTCATTAATATTAATAGTATATCATAACTTATCATAGCTCATCATAATAAGTACATCGTAATATAATATATCATCAGTATTTATCATCGTTATAATCACTCATCATCATAAATAAATTCATCGTACAATATTATATAGTTATCGTTATAGTTACATCATCACCATCATTCACATCATTATAATATAATCAGCATTCATTACTCATAGATATATTTATAACTAAAGAGTCGTGCAAGTTTATTTTTTCATTCATAATCATGATTGTCTTTGAATTACTAACATATGGCCTTTTTTTTTTTTTCAAGGATAAATATAAAACAACGACGCGATAATATAAATGAAGTGATGGTTAGAGTGAGTGTTTTGCTTGAGAGAGAGGGACATCCTGAAACACGTAACAATATTTTGCATCTTACACATATACATATATATAACACAAGACAAGATTGATTTGTGAAAAATGATCGGATGATCTGATATTGATATAAAAGAAACTTGCGATTACTATTAGCTGAGTAATGAGAGAATATAGTAAGAAGTACACATCCTCAATCCAGATAGTACGGTGCATCATATTACTTTGCTGCTGAGTGTTTGTTCGTGCTTCAATCAAATTTGGATCATTTTACTAAATATTCAAGTAAAATTGCCGTATCAGGTATGTATTCTTTAAAGATTTCAATGTTTCAACTTTACAAAACATATGTACATGTAAAACAGCAAGTTCCCGATTCTAAATATTGGTAATGACGTGTTTGATAGTATATATTATTATTATTGGTATTTATTCGACGATTTTATGTAAAAAATAATAATTAATAAACTATGAACCTGTTTGCGTGTACCTTATTATATACTGTTATTTTTCATTGTGCAAGTTTTTCCTTGTTTATCCATAATCTCCCGATCTTTTGCAAAAAAAAATAGTAAAAATTACGTTATCAATATTTTTAACAAATCGAGGTGAAAATTTAATGATTCTCTTTTATTAAAGAAACTTACTTTTTAAGTTGTTTTTTAACCATTTGGCTGTTGTCATTGCAAAGGGCACATGTTGATTATTATCATTGTTGTATAATCCATCTGCATCGATATTGCTTGCAGTGTTGCAGAAGAAGCGGTGAAAGGAAGTATATTCTTGTTCCAAGTAATAAAATTCTTGGGAGACCATTGACATATGATGAGATGTGTAATTCTAAATACATTTCGTTTTCAACTATTGAGTGTGATCCAAAAAAAAATACATGAACCTTTATGACACGATCAGTAATTTTTTCAATCTGTTATAGGGATGCTTCTTTTATCGAACTTATTTTTTTTAGAAACAACGGTAAGTTTTAATTAAATAAGAGATTATTTGAAAAAAATACTTTGCTCTATTCTAAAAAGGAAAGAAGTTGAAATTCTTAATAAAATAGGAAATTAAGAATGGGCGTCCTCAGAAATTATCAAATATTTAATTTTTGAGGATAAATTTATTTATTAATCTTAATCTAATCAGGTTTTAATTCCTGAGGACGCCCAATGATAGTAAGCACTTATTATACATGAGATGATAATTAGGTAAATTACCATAAATACGTAATTCGTAATTAACATAATTAATTACCACTTTCACTCTTTAAAAACGTAATTACGTAATTAATTACGGGTGACAAATTATGAAAATTTTCTATGCAAACCGTTGTTAACGCTATACATGGATGGTAATTGCCTAATTACCGTAAGTACGTAATTATCGTAATTAATTACCATTTGTTATCAAAATTTTCCATTGCTTGTCAATTTTGATCCGGCGTTAGTTTTAATTTCCTTATTTTTTTTCAGAAATGATCAGAATGATTTTGATTGGTTCTCCCATAAATAATAGGTATCATTTAATTTCGTTATTTCGTTGTTCGTAATTGATTTCGTCACCCGTAATTAATTTCGTAATTACGTATTACGTTTTTGGCAAAACAGTTACCATCCCATGTACAGTTACTGGAAAAAAGTATCGCTTCACCTGATGATCGGCGAAAATAATTGAATAACTCTGGTGATATAAAAAGTCATTATTTTACTAATCAAGTCGATGTTGTGTAATAACAAAAAAATCTTTTTCATAATGAATTCTATAACATACTCAAGTTCCACAACATTCAATTAAATATTGGTAATTTTATAATCTTTAAAAGACAAAAAAAAAATTTCCGGAAATTTTCCAAAAAACTTTAGATTAGAGCCAACTTTAGATGTCATGTTTTAACACATTTTGGGAGCTTAGTAAATGTTGTTTCTTTTGTCTTCAAAGGAATACTTATAAAACCTCGCAATTAATTGTCAAATATTGGTTAAGTATCAAACTGAAACGTAAAAATAATTTTTAAAAAGTTTACTAGCTATTTGCACAATATTTTACATATTAACTCGTTATAAAA